AGGGCAAAGGTAGGAACACCATCGACAGATATGCTGACGACGTTAGCAGGTGAAGTGCGAGGACTGGGGCATTTCGACGATGGCGCAGTTCTTGCTTGTGGAACTGCGGCGTTCAGTTTTCCCGGTTGGAGGAAGCAGGTCGGGGACACATTGGGGACAGTGATCGCCTGTGAGGAGATGGGGAGCGGGGAGAATGAGTCAGAGGGGGGATTGGGTTGACTGAGACTCTGGAAGGTTAGTGTGGCCATACTGCGGTGAGGAATAGGGAGCAGGTAGGTGCATGGGCTGTGGGTCATACGGTAACGGCCGAGTAGCGTCGTTAAGTGGTTGGAAGCGACGGCGACAATATCGTGCCATGTGTCCTGGAGTACCGCAGGCGTAGCAGATTGGTCAATTGGCAGGAGTGCTCTAGGAATTGCTGACTCGCGGTGCGGCCCAAGGTTTCGATAAAGGGCTGGAGTTGAGAGCAACTGAAGACATGGGTGGCAAATGCTGCTGGCGGGGTCTGCTGCGTAGCACCTGGGCATACGTAAGAGGCGCGGCCACAGGCTGCATAGCCGGTGCATGGGGAACAGGCATGGCCACAGGCTGCTGGTGGGCAGCGACAGGAACAGCCTGAGTTACCTCTTCGGCAATAACGTCGCGGAGTGGTGAGGGCAGATGAGAGGACGGCAGCTGCGGCGTGAAGGGAATCAACGACAGTTGCCTAGCTACTTCTTCTTTAATCTCTTGCAGGGTTGGTGAGTGATCGGGAACAGAAGTAAGACTGGAGAGCGAGTCGGCGTGTGAGGAAAGTGGCCGAGTCCGGGCGCGCTGCTTCCTCAACTCGTCGAAACTTCGATATAAAGTGACAACTTCAGCAACAATGGCAGGATTACGTGCCAGGAGCATCTTAAATGCGCCGTCATTTATCCCTTTGTGGATGTGCTGAATCTTCTCGGACTCAGGCCTGGCGGTGCTTATACGGTTGCGAAGACTTATAATGTCTTCGATGTAACTGGTGAACGATTCCGATGGATTCTGTGTGCAAGTCCGCAAGCGTTGTTCGGCTCTGGACTTGCGGACAGCGGGTCGGCCAAAAACATCAGCAAACGATGTTTTGAAGATGGACCAAGTCGTAATGTCGTTTTTGTGGTTGTTATGCCACATTTCGGCCATGTCAGCGAGGTAAAAGATGAAGTTAGTCAACTTGTCTGCGTCATCCCGCTTGTTGTTGGCGCTCACCAATTTGTACTTAGTGAACCAATCTTCCGCGTCGGTCTCATCAGCTCCGTCAAAGACCTTGGGCTCTCGCAAGCGACGAACGCCGGGGTTGCTGAACGATGGAGGGGAAGACCCAGGTTGTGCGTTATTGGTGGCCATGATGGGAGGTAGCGTTCGGTTGCGCAGCTCCAGGTTTAGGTGACGGCGAATGGCAGCACACAGGTTCAGGCGACGGGGAATGTCAGCACCCTCCACCAGTTGAAAAGGGGTTTATTTACATGTGTTGCGGCAGTGACCCTACGACGAAAACACGATCGGGACAGAGTAACTGTCAAACCGATGCCGGCGACGATCAGCACGAGGCAAGCGAGAGAAGTCCAGAATCCAGTACCCAAGGGGTGGCGATGTTGCTTGGCAACGGTGCATTTTCTTTTTCACAATATAAACATTCTGGAAGAAATCTACAGGGGATCAACTGCTACCATATTGCTTCATAAAGAAAGCAACAGTATGCCAATCAAGAAGAGTGTAAGGCAGGGGGATACAATCTCCCCAATGCTGTTTACTGCATGCTTACAGAAGGTGTTCAGAGGCCTCGAATGGAAACAATTAGACATAAGAGTTAATGGAGAGTACTTTAGTAACCTGCGGTTCGCCGATGACATTGCATTGCTGAGTAACGCGGGGAACAAATGGTAACTCATGATTGCAGATTTAGACAAGGAGAGCAGAAAGGTGGGTCTTAAAATTAATCTGCAGAAAACAAAAGTAATGTACAACAATCTCTGAAGAGAGCAGCGCTTTGAGATAGGTAATAGTGCACTTGAAGGTGTAAAAGACTATGTCTGCTTAGGGCAGGTAATAACCACTGAGCCGAACCACGAGATTGAAGTAACTAGAAGAATAAGAATGGGGCGGAGCACATTTGGCAAGCACTCTCAATTTACGACAGGTAGATTGCCACTATTCCTCAAGAGGAAGGTATATAACAGCTGCATCTTGCCGGTACTTAGCTATGGAGCAGAAACCTGAAGACTTACAAAGAGGGTTCTGCTTAAATTGAGGACGACGCAGCGAGCATTGTAAAGAAAAATGTAGGTGTAACCTTAAGAGACAGGAAGAGAGCAGAGTGGAAAGGGAACAAAGGGTGGTAAAGAATATAATAGTTGAAATCAAGAAGAGGAAGTGGACATGGGCTGGGCATGTACCGTGTAGACAGGATAACTGCTGGTAATTAAGGGCAACTAACTGGATTCCCAGAGAAGGCAAGGGGATTTGGGAAAGACAGAAAGTTAGGTGGGCAGATGAGGTTAAGAAGTTTGCGGGTATAAATTGGCAGCCGCAAGCACAGGACCGAGTGGACTGGCGGAACATGGGAGAGACCTTTGTCCTGCAGTGGACGTAGTCAGGCTAATGATGTTGATGATGATCAGAAACATCAGCAGGGACCGGGACTGGATCATGAAAGTAAATATTGCAGGACGGACATCAACGTCAAGATCGACACAGGGTCCCGAGCAAACTTGATGATGCTGTCACTTTTCCGAAAAATTCAGGCCTGTCTAGTAAAAGCAAGCAACGCGGTTCTACGATCCTATAACGGCGGCTTCATCAAACAGCTAGGCACATTTTTGTCGCACGTGATCATCGGGGACCAGAACATCTACACAGACTTCTTCGTGATTAAGAAAGACCACGGCGCCCTCCTAGGTCTGACAGCTGCAGAGGACCTGGGGCTGATCAAATGAAACGTTGATGCCATAACAAACAATTCTTCCACAATCATCGATCAATTTCCCCAGCTTTTTCAAGGAACGGGCCGTGTACAGCACGAGAACAGGATCACCCTTCGCGAGGGTTCCGTGCCCCTCATTCAGCCAGCCATACGAGTGCATATGGTGCTGCGAGAACCTCTGCGCGCTGAATTACAGTGAATGGAAGTGTAAGGCATCATACAAAAAGTCAGCAGCCCGGCAGATTGGGTAAGCCCACTGGTCTCGTGCTTAAAGGAGCACTGACATCAAATTTAAACATCGAGATGTGGCCATCATTCGATCGCTTGGTATGCATAGGTCTTCTTGGCCAAATTTGAATGGCGTCCATCGCGTGGAGGTTATTTTATTTCGGTGTCAAACAACGTAGAAAAGCTACGGAGAAAAAACGAAAAACAGGCTGCCCTGCGAAATCGACACTAGTGCTACGTGTTCGGTGTGATACATTCCACAAATACTATCCTGAGTGACGATACGCTAGTAAAGATGACGTCAACGATCTCTGAGTGTGTTTGGAGTCGACGCCCAGCCATGTTCTCAGTGGCCCTCCTTGCTGTCTTGAAGCGTGCATGCGAGTCATCGTGTCGCATCGACTGATCTGCGTTGTGTTCCACTGCATGAGTTCGATCATTCAGAGGGACAATACGTGCCAGAATGTCGGGGAACCTGCTGCGTAGTGATAGCCTGCACGTCGAGGCGCGGAAAAAGCGGAAAGTCCGTGGCGTTTCATGCCTTTCCAAGCCACGAACCTCAACGCAGGCAGTGGGTTGACTTCGTACGTGCCATTGGACCCAGGGACTGGACGCCTGTGAAGAACAGCTGCATTTGCTCCTTTTACATTCCGGCGAGCTGCTACAGGATAAATCCTGTGCTGGCGATTTAGTTAGGTTTCACTGGCAGTACGAGGCCCCCTTCTCGAGGCCGGCTCTATTCCTTCCGTGTGCCCTGCAGCAGCTGAAAGCAGCCATCCACTCGCCAAACGTCCGCGACATGAGGAGCGCAGTTGGTGTTCCTGAGCTCTGAGAGTGCGGCCGGGACTGATAAATACTTTGCATTTAACGCAGAGCTTGTCAAGCAAGGATTGCGAGCCTGCCGCTTCGTCAAACGCCTGTGATGTCATTGTGATGAAGCCCGCAGCAGGTGCGTAAAGTGCGGTATCGGAGTGGAGGATCAGAGTAGTCCGCTATACACTTGTAAATATGACAGTTCACATGTTCAGATTCACCTCATATCCCTGTCGTTGCCGTAAATGATTTTTTCACTCGTGATGAGCGGATTCCGATTGACACTACTACACATTCACTGTCGATCGCGAAGTAGCCTCAATCGGGATCGAATTTTCTGTCTTCATATAAAAGGAATGGGCACAGCTTCAGTGCGTTTTGTCGCAAAGTCTGAAACGCCTAAATAACATGCGAGCTGCACAGCTTCCTTGGTTTAATCAACAGTGCAAATAAATTCCAGTATATTTTGATTAAACTACTACACCAAGTAGTTTTGAGCACACTTTAGGGAGTTGCAGATGATCAGCTGACATGACATACTTTTTATCCTTAATCATAAAGGCAAAAGTAATATATATAGAACAAAGGTTAACGCAAGTCAGTATGCTTATCAGGTCAACCTCGTACAGGTTTTGCACTAACTGAGCGACATTACAAGTTTTGCACCTATGCGGTGACCCATAACATGTGCACCATCAATTCTTGGACTATGTACCAGCAACCGAATTAGTTGACACCCCAAAATGTGATCTAAATTAATGCTTGATCATAGTTCAAACTTGCCCCGTTTCAAAAATATTATGCACCCTTCAGCCAGCTGCATTTAGGCTTCTGTGGTCCTTTATAGATTGTACCAAAGCACATTGCTGTAATTCAGGATGACACTGCCATTTATATTGGTGAACTTTGTTAAGTGGCCTTGACACGTGAGTGATCATTCTTCTCTTGAAAGGTATCAACACATGTAGTGATGTCATTATGACTAAATGAATGAAACAATATTTTATATTTTGTTTTATAGGGCAAAGAAGCGTGAAAACAATGCTTCATTCCCGTGGCACAAATGCATGCTGCAACGCAGGCATCCGACAAAGTGGCCACAAGAAATGCGGCAACACAATGCAGTGGCAATGTTGCTTTCAAAATCACAAAGATGGATTGGAATCCAGATGGCTAGCACAATGAAAGAAACAGGTGTGTATATTGTTTCAATTGCTTACATTGAGATCTATGTTTCAGCCGGGGTTCTCATGCATGGTGGTGTCGGAAAACCCTGCTAAGCTCATACGCTACCAGAGGGGGGCAGTTGACACTTAATGGAGCATTCAGTGTCACCTCGAGAATCTGCCCCCTCTGGCAGCATTCGCGCAAGTATTTTTTTAATCAGGTCATGCCGAATTCTCGTGCTTCGTTCTCTGTATGAGTTAGGGGAATAAAATTATAAGTACGGTAGTTGTATTTCAGTGGAGTTTAAGTACCAATAACGCCGTGTACTTGCATTGTACTGTACTATTGATGCAGTGCTAAAGACAGATGTGAAGAAAAACAAGAGTTCACGGAACCTCTTCGTATTTATGTTTTCGTCTTGAGTGCTGCACCAGCCATGCAAGCATTTTAACTAGCCCAACTTTGCATTTAACTGTTATAGTGTTCAGAAAACCCCACAATTTGCTAAAATAAATCTTGTGCCCTTCCTTGTCATGTCTCGACTGTGCAGAGTTGGGAAGAGAAACTCTTCCAGCTATTATTGTAGCATGAAAGCAGTGGCCTGCTCTCTGATAAAAAGTAGCGGTTTCTCTACTACAAGAATATTAAATGATTATGAGCCTATTTGCTGAATGCTTGGTTGCCTGTTCATATGTGCAGCTTCATAAAGCGCCATCAATATTTGTTCACCTGTTGACGCAACTGATGTTCGTTTGGTTACATTTGCAGAATTCCAGACAGACATCGGCCTTTCGGATGTAGTGGCTCATCTTGAGCAGCAGCACTGCTCCACACCTGTGGCACCTGTAATACCAGAGACCTCTGCGACACCTGTGCGATCTGAGCCATCGTTGTCATATCGGGATGATCCCAACAATGATACATATGAACCTCTTTCGAACAGCTCAGAAGGGTAAGTTTCCAAAGGAGTTGCTTCGTGCCTGTTAGCCGTAGCCTCTACCATCACTTGTTACATTGAGCGTCATGAATTGCAGTTAGAAACATTTGGCATGAAAGCGAGTAGACATACAGGTTTAATGAACTACACTAAATGAAGGTAACAGCATTTGGCATGCAGCTAAAATGCCTATGTATACAGCAGAAATTTCAGTTTCCTAGACTTTTGATTTAAGGAAGTGTTTTTCTTCTTTATAGTAGCATCACTCCTTAATGACACTCTTCATTGCATATTAAATGTTTGTTGTAAGTGAATGATTTGAACAGCTGGCAATACTCACGGTGAATATCCTTACAATATTTTTAATGTGAAATTTGACTGGAAGTAAAAAGGGCATGTTGTGATATTTCCGTCCCACAGGTTCCTCAGTTCAGGTGTTTCCTTGGGCCAGCAGGAAGGTCCAGTCTCAAGGAAATTTCATATATATGAGTACTCCCTCTTGAACTTTTTGAGACCTGCAACATTTGTGATCTTCCTGCTAAAGCTTCAGTAAAGGTATCTATTGTAGAGTGTGTTATATCTAGTTTTCAACGCGGTGCCATATGTAGTCATATGAGCCAGCTAAGTACAGCACCGATCCTCTCTGTGTGCTTTTTTTGAATTTTAAAGGAGCAATCGCATAAAATTTATGCATGTCTACATTTTTGCACTCACAAGTATTTATCAAATCACTAGTAGAGATTTCCAACCAAAAATAGAATTGAGAGAAGAATAACTGTCCATTCTATGGATTTATTTCGCTGGTATTTAGCACCATACAAAACGTCCAGCAAGTTATTTTGGTTATTACACCCCTGATATTCTTCCATGTGGAAAGACCTGTCATCATCATGCCAGCCAGGGGCTTGCTCATGTGCACATTGCATTAATTTTTTCTTGTAAATCTAGCCTCAGTATGCACTAAAACAGTAATGTAGGACAGTGCACAGGCTCCAGCCCTGATGTTTTTCTGCTTAACTACCCTCTTTTTTTCTCATGTTCATCATAACCTGTGCTTAATCTTGCAGACTACATCAACAGTATTCTTGAAGCTGTTGAACAGCTCTTAGGGCAGACCTCCCGAGAGTACTGCCACCCCCACCTCTAACGAGCTCCTATGGAACTGTGAACAAATCAGCAGTTGTTGCCGCACATTTGTCGCGGTTTTTCAACTAAGTCAACTGGAAGCCACCCACAAGCTCTGTCACTGACACCTTTGTAGTGAAACAGTACGGCACTGCTTCTGCGCACGCGTCACGCCAATGGTTCTAAATATGAGTGCCACTAATGAGAACATTTTCACTCGATGGAAGACAGAAAATTGTGTGTGCTCCTGCTATCACTTGCGGCTTGGTTCGTGGTTTTACGTTTCATTTGGAACTCCTGCTAAATGGAACATACTGTTGCGATGTCGCAGTTATTATCATATTAAAGTGAAGGAGGAAGAGTAGGACGATGTTGGCTGGGGATCAACAACCGCCATTTTCACTTGTTTTATTTTCCCTATAAATATCTCTGAAATATATTCGCAACAATATTTTGCTGGTCCCTTCACGTTCTGTTTAATAAAAGTTTACTGTGCTTACACAGCAACTGCAGGCCCAACACGTGATCAAGGGCCAACAGCACCAACTCCAGGAACAGCTGCAACACAACGAAAATGTGCACTTGCCTGACGATTCTGCACAGCCCCACTTTGGCCACGCTCCCTTAAGCTCTGCTCCAGCGATCATTGCCAATGGAGGCACTACCACTTCTGTGGCTGTTACTGGCAACGGCGTCTGTGGCATAGTCATCAAGCTACCACCATTTTGGGCAGTCAAGTGAGGTGTGGTTCACTCGAGTTGAGGAAGTTTTCCGCGGCACATATCACCCAGTACTGAAAACGCTATGACTACATTGTCGCCCATCTGGACTCTCGTTGCGCAACTGACAACTAGCTTCATGACAAACTTGCAAGTCCTCTGGTTGATGACTGCTGCCTGCACCTGAACATGCAACTGATCCGACGGCTTTCACCTTCAGCAGACGTACGAGAAATAGTGACTACCCTCCTGAAGCGCTAAGAGCTTGTTGACCTCCTCTGAGTAATCTGGCTTCAGTGTTTAATTTCGCACGCAAAGGCCATCCTGCAACTTCAGTCAAATGTGCTGCTGGGCCAGCTAGCTGAAATCGCGGACCGCGGCGTCAAGTTTTCTTTACTGCCGTCACTTTTCTTCTTCCCTGCCGATGGCGCCTCACAGCGTTTCTTCGAGCTCATGAGGTGTATCGACAAAATCACCCGTCAGCTGGACTCTTCAAAAGCACCTGGATCAACGTCCAACGTTGTGTCTCAGAAAACGTCCCCAAAGCCAACACCACTACGCCAATTCAATGCAAGGAAATAATGACGGCTGCTGCTACTATCATCACGCCCTTTTGACCGTGTTGGCCTTGCTCTATATGAACCGATTCCATGCGACTGGCAATCAATCAAACAAGATACACAGTAACAGCTGCACTACCTACTGCTCGTGCTCATGGCATAGACAACCTAGGGTTACCTGCATCATGGTGTACTAAGCCTAGCGATAAAGGGCGAGTGTTTTTATACTAAGTTTTTCAGCTACTTTTTTGCACATGCTGCACAGTTTACTGCACCTCTACAGCCAACCACGTGCAGACCAATGGTCTAACAGAGCACTTCAACCAAATGATGGCATACATGTTTGCAAAGCATGTCGATTCTGAACAATTGGACTGGGATGTCATTCTCATATTTATGTCTTCTCCATACAAATAGGCTCCTCACCATATTTTCTCAGGCCTTGAACCATGCACCACTCTTGACATTATTTTGCTGTAGCGACTGAACGCCTCTGAACTCAGTCCCATTACTGAATTTGTAGAGCACGCAAAAGAGTGTCATCATTTGGCCTGCTCATTCACTTCGAACGGCTTTTTTGTTTCTGGGGTGTTGCAGCGAGGAAGAACAATAATATGCCGTCGAGGGACATCACCTTAGCTGAAAGAGCTGAGCGTGAGCAGGGACGAAATTATTCTGTCTGTTTTCAACACCTGATTTCAGTGTTGACAGGTCCATGGACACTGGGGCAGGATTTCGTATTGGAGGTGAGGTGCATGCTCCTGTTTCATCCAGCTAGGGTAGGAGAGGGAGCACTGGTGTGGCTTACGTGAGAAAAAGTGCTGGTCTGCTTTGAGGGGGAAAATTCCTCTTTTGCACCCCCTTCAGATGCCCACATTTTGGCCTCCTGCTCTGCTCAAGTGCTATTTTCATCAAGGAAACCTCATTGTACTTCATCAATATAGCGCGTGTCTCAAGTATCATGCACCAAGATCTAAGAAAAGCAACTGTGTTACTCTAAAACCTTGAGCATACTGTTTTCAGTACAGTATGCCCATGGCGGCCGTCCCCAAGGTGAGGCCCACCGTCCGCTTCCTCTTTATTCGAACATACCCAAACTGAGCCCACTCGTCCTGCCATGACATCACAGAAGATCTAGCTGAAAAAATGCAACTGAAGCTGCTGGGAGAAACTTGAGTTTCATTTACCATCTTTGGCAGCATTTCCCCAAACTCTGCAGAAAGACGAAAAGTCTGACATCCCCCTGCAAAGCCAACACCATTCTCAAATTCACATTATTCTGGCCATTGTCACACCATTTATTTGGGACGACATTTTTTCGATGACAAGTGATGACTACCTTATACAGAAGTAGCATTGCGAAGGAAAGGTTAAAAAAAGTACTGTTCTAAATTTCAGAGTGTCAAGAGACATTTGTAGTCATGATTTGGTATTTTGTTGCTTTATTTTGAGTATTTAGTGATTGTACAGCAGTGACAAATTCGAATGGGACAATTAAGAGTTAAGGGCTCCCAAGCTATCTGCTTGCGAAAATGCACATCCCAAGCAGATAGTTTGGAATGTGCACATCCTTCTGCACATCATATCCAGTTTGGGTCATACTAGTGTAATTTGAACTAAAATGTGTAAATTGTAGCTAACATAATCTTCAGAGACCACATTCTCTTCTACATAATGTGGTTGTCTCGAGCGATTGTACAGTTCAGTTATACTAAAACTGTGAAGGCGCACCTGGGTCCGTCAATGCTGTAAGAAAAGTTTCCGCTCCAGCTTGCACTATGCGTCCTAAACATTCTGTCAATAACATAAAAAATAAAAAAAACACCAAAATATTTCATACTCATTTGAATACAGTTTGTGTTGTATAGTATGTGCATTAATATAACAGGGGAAGACATACGAGAAAGTGTGTGTAAAAAGGCCTTGCGTTTGCTACTGTCTCTTTTTTTTCCTTGTTGCATAATACATTTATAATTAGTTTCACAGCAAGAAGTTTTACTGAAGTGCACTTTTTAGTGATCTTGATGTTATAAACAATTTATGATGATGTGGTGCTATTGCTTCAAGTGCGTATATACAAAGAATTTTCTTTGCTGCTCTAGGTGTAACGTCGGTATATGGGTGTTGTGGCATTTCTTGTCATTGTTTCTTGCACTACCATCCATGTGCTTCTGCTGTGCTGAATGAATGCTGTTGTCTGTATAACACTTGCAGTTTGTTTGGATAAATCCTTGTACATGCCATCTTGTGGAGCAAAGGCAGCTGAAATGCCACTGCATTGCAACCTTTTCATTACATTGCCTAAAAGAAGGTGTACTAAATTTAATTGGTTTTAAAAGTCACACCTTCACTCTAGCAATATGCTTGCCGAGACTAATTGTTGAAATTCCTGCAGTTTCATTGGACAATGTGCATATTTTATACCCATGCTGATTCGCATCACAAGTTGGTCTATTATTTAACGGCTAGGTATAGTTACTGTGCGGGCCAATGGTCACCCATTATGCAATACCTTGACACAGCCTCAATAATTATTCTTCAAATATGTGTCGGAAAAATATTGGACGTAATAGGTTGCATATTGTGTTGTCCATCTTAGCTGCACGAATAGTTGCCAAGGTTTTCAAACACTTTACACATGCACTTTAATATTACGGGTATCGAAATCCACATTATTCTTGAGATGGGAAGGCTTCCATTATTGCAGAGCCAACACAGCTAGGAAGCATCACTCTCTTTTTTCGTCCCAGACGGCGCCACACCCACAGAGCAAACTGTCGGTACGTAGTATACCTGTACCGCCTGAAAAATAACTCGCCGAGTCGGAGATCTCTGCTTGAAAAACGTAAAATAGGAACGCTGAGGTTTAAAAAAATCTTTTGAAAGATTTTGAAATGTCTAGCAAGAACGAACTGCTTGACTGTACACTGGTCACTTTTTTTAACCACATGGTGTGCGGTGGGATTAAGTCTTGTTGCACAAAATTCTATCAGAACGTGCTCATTGAAAATGCTTTGGCAACGTACCTGTGTATTTCCGAGGCCTCAAGGAAATCGGGATGGTCGTTCATGAGGGCGTAATAAGCTACCTCAAGCGTGTGCACTTTCATGCAGGCCTGCGAAAATATGAGATGAGCGGTGATGCAGCCCGCTTCTTCTGGAATAAGCGGCCGCACGCATTCTTCCTCCTTGCAGCACAACGACTCCAGTTTCATTTCCATGGGACGGCAGTGGCCGCATTGGCACCTATGTAAGCGGTCGCCAAAACCGTCAGCCTCTCTCACACAGTTCACGATATCGCACATGCAAAGATGCATGCAAAATAAAGAAAGTTGCTAAGCAAACGCACGATGTTGATGTGGACATGAGCGCTTCAGAGATGCCTAGCATGATATAGGACGATACAGCGCTCTACCGTCTAACAGCATGAAGTGCCAACTAGCCCATCTTTCTAAGTTACACGCCTTGCATGTCTGTTCGACAGATGCCTAGTAGCGTGCGACAGTGATGGCGATGTGGCCCATCGAGCTAGGTTACAGTCCGTTGACTCACATTTTCCTATAGTGTGTGTGATTATCTCACCACGCGCATTATACCAGCGCGATGACTGCTATCTGTGCACATGCCACGGCACAGCGATACCCGACAAAGCAATACTGCAGTACAATCGTAGGAGATAGTTTGTAACTAACATTCGTGCAGTGCATGAATACACGAGTACAAGCTAACTATATAAGAACTGTCATCACCAACAACTAACTCGCATATAGCGCTAATAAAGCTGATTGTACCATATCTTACCAGTCAGCGTGGCCCATGCGCGTGTCCGTAGCAACTTCCTCGTCGCTGCTCAAATTGGTGTCCATTTTCGAATGGCTGCTTTGCAAAGGGTCGAAACGAAAATGATTCGCGACGTCGCCATCAGAGAAACAGCTGGGCTGACTTCACGTGCGTTCGCAGCAGACGAAACGCCAGTGTGACATCTCCATTTTTTGTGAAAGCGGCATCAGCTGTGCAGCGGTTTCGACTTGCCACGCGGTAGCTCTGCCAGAACTACAATTTGGTAGGTTTTCCAGTCATTTTGAACAGAGTTCGATAGCGAGTATATTAATCAGTATTACAGATATTTATTCGTCACTAAGATGCGTTTTAGGTTGCAAATCAGTACTAGGGGGTTGATAGCCACTCGTTGACGCAAAAATGTTGACATGAGTAAATTTTATGCCAGTGCTCCTTTAAAAAGGACACCAGGTGTCGGGTATGCATGGACCCGAGAAAAATCAATCAATGCCTTAAGAGAAAACATTGTTAGATGCTGCGCCGAGAAGACATAGAAGCAGAGCTGGCAAGAGCGAAGATGTTTTCTCGGCTTGACGCTAACACCGGGTTCCATCAAATACCACTGGATGAACAGTCTTCCAAAATATGTACCTTCGCAACTCCCTTTGGTCGTTATCAGTTTATTCGACTGCTTTTTGGCATTTCATAGGCAAGTGAAGTTTCTCGAAAAGCGCTCAACGAGATATTTGATGGTTTACCTGGCGTGCGTGTATATGTTGACGACATGCTCATTTGGATGGCTAACCAGAAAGAACACAATGAGAGGCTCAAAAACACGCTACTAGCGGCAGCGAAAGCAGGACTGACATTCAACGCGTTAAAGTGCTTGTTCGGCGTTGAAGAAGTTTTCTATCTTGGTGACATCACCAGCAGCAGGGGCACATGCCCTGACCCTGCTTTGGTCGAAGCTCTGCTGAAAATGCCGGCACCACGTGACAAACAAGCGGTACAGACGCTCTTGGGCGTCGTCAACTACTTTTGCTAATATGTGCCGTCACTATCTCAGCGCACTTCTAAGTTGCGTTCGCTGTTGAAGCATGTTGTTTTTGACTGGACAATGAGTCACGAGAGCGAATGGTAGGCTATATGCAGGGAGCTTAGCGAATCGCCACTTATAGCAATTTTTGAACCAGGCAGAGAAACAAAAATAACGGTGGATGCCTCGCAGTACGGTGTCGGTTTGGCACTGATTCAACTTCATGGGAGCGCCTGGAGACCTGTGGCTTATGCTTCAAGAGCTATTAACGAAACCGATCAACGTTGTTCACAGATATAAAAAGAATCTCTTGCTTTGGTTTTTGGGTGCGAGAAGTTTTATCACTTCGTATACGGACATCCTTTCATTCTTGAGAGCGACCATCTCCCACTGCTTGACATATCAAAGAAAGCTATTGCTGATATGCCGCCTAGAGTACAGCGTTTCTTTTTGCAGTTATTGAAATATGAGTATACCTTGATTTTTGTTCCAGGAAAACATATGGTTGTGGCTGACATGCTTTCCCGGGCACCTGCTTCTTACTGACAAGCTTTGGCCGCAAATAGCATATACACAAAATAAAGAAACAACGACAAGCACAAGCGGCACAAACAACCTTTGCAGCCACTTGTGCTTGTCGTTGAGTGTTTCTTTACTTCTTGTGTGTGTTATTTGCGGCCAAAGCATGTCAGTAAGCAAGTACCAACTAGGCCAACAATCAGTATTGTTACACCTGCTTCTGAAGATGGTGCTGCGCCTCTCACAAGTGACGTCAAAGTTCATGGAGTCGCAGTAGTATCGACATTCGTGAGGAAAAAAAACTATTTCTCGACTTGCAAATGAGACCAAGGGTGACGTATACCGTCAGGTACGTCACAAGCTTGTGAATGGGTGCACTGTGGAAGGTGCGCTGAAGACGGCTGCTTCCGAACTCTCGGTGGTCAAAGGAGTCTTTCTAAAAGGAACGAAGGTCGTGGTGCCAAGTAGCATGCAATCGTACATAATGAAGCGTGTTCATGCAGAGCATCTCGGCATCGGAAAATTAAAGTCCAGAGCAAGAGAGTTGGTATACTGGCCTAATATAAATTCTGACATAGAAAGGCTAGTTCGCAATTGTTCAGTATGCCAGACTTATGCTTATAAGCAGCTGCCAGAACTGCGAATCATGCGTACAACACCGACTAAAGCGTGGTATCGCGTGGGTGTCGACTTGTTTCAGTATGGTGACCAGCATTATCTCTGTGCCTATGGCTCAATGTCGAACTTTCCAGAAGTTGAATTATTACCCAGCGCCACAGCCAGTTCCGTCATACAAAGATTGAGAGCTATATTTTTCTGTTATGTTATATCAATCTAAGTATGCACAGACAATGGGCCCCAGTTCGCCTGTTGTGAGTTCAGGCTGATCGCTCAGGAATTCGATTTGAAGCGCATCACATCCAGTCCTGGCCAGAGTACCCTCAGTCAAATGGCCTTGCCGAGAAAGGTGTACAGATAATTAAGTGCATATTAAAAAAGACGAAAGAGGTGAATGGGAACTTTTGGCTTGGCGTCCTGAATTACAGAACATGTCCATTGGAGGATGGGCGATCGCCAGAGGAGCTACTACAAGGAAGACGCATGCGGACCCCCATACCGGACTTCAGACCCCTTGTTCCCACGTGAGTAAGGAAACATCGGCAGAGCAACCACAGCAGACGTGTACTTCTAGGCCTCGAAAGCAATGACACCGTTCGCATAGGTGGAGAGACATGGATGAAAAAAGCCAAGGTTCTTAGATCAGTGGGGCTTCGATTCCTCCATGTGCGAACAGAAAACCGGAACATCCTGCGCCGCAATCGGCGGCACGTCTTGGCAACGAGTGAGCCTTTTGAGGTCACCTCCGATGAGGAAGATGACGACGACGAGCAGGCACCTGCCTCTGTTGAAACTCCCACATCCGGCCCGCCCGCAGTAGTGCCAAGTTGTTCGCAATAACCTTTGCAGCCAGTTATACCACGGCGAAGGTTGCAGCGTCAAACACCGTCCGGAACATCTGGGGTACGATCAAAGCCTTCAACAGTTAGGTCAACGACATGGAAAGGAATATGTATCGTATCAGGCCCGAGAGTGCAAGCCAGCTATCTTGGTTGCATTACGCGTGCCTTTCTTTACTATATCGACACAATGTGACTTCAAATTACGTGCACTAGCCGATACTTGTGCCCTCTAGATGGTTTGCGAGGCACGAGCCTGCGGGACCCAGCTGCGCGCGAACCGTGTTGAAAAAAAGAAGAACGTAGACGAAGAAGCAGAAGTGAATCCTCGAGACACTCTAGCTGTGTTATTATTTTTGGGCACAAGTTCGCCCTGCCTAGGTTAGCCTAATAAAAGAGTTCATTGAAGAGTGCGTTACAAATCTGATGGAAGTGCTGGGTAAGATGCCAAGCCCCTCTCGAGTGACGGAGCACAGTCCAGAACCACAGCGATTTCGACCCAATGAGCTTACGCCTGTTCATCAGCGCTGCACTCAACGCCTGCGTGGTGTGGGTCCTGAATTTTCATCCGGAACCGACTTCCCTTGGAACATCAACGGCTGGGAAGGGGTACGCAACCGGCATGACAGCTCAGGTCACTCCAGCCAACATTGTAGTAAACCAGCCAATGCTATTAAAGCCTTTCTACGGCGAAAGCTACGAGGACGCAGAGGACTGGCTTGAACACTTTGAACGCGTCGCAAAGGCTAACGGATATGGGGAATAGTGCAAACTTGGAAGTGTTTACTTCACACTGGAAGATAGCGCAGGAACATGGTATGAAAACTACGAAGCTACCTTCCGGTCGTGGAGTGATTTTCGACGGGAGCTGCTCGCTGCTTTCCCGAACACAGACCGCAAAGAGAGATCTGAAGCTGCGCTCCAGACAAAAAATCTGCGAAATAACGAAACTGTCGCAATGTATCTGGAAGACATGTCTCGCCTATTCCGCCGAGCGGACTCAAATATGAGCGAAGACGGGAAGCTGCGCCATCTGATGCGAGGCCTGAAGCAAGAACTCTTTGCCGGACTAATTCGAAGCCCGCCGCGCACCGTCGCCGAGTTTCGTTCCGAGGCGACTACAATGGAAAGGTTATCCAACCGGGATGCGATCGTCACTTCCTTGGACATGTTGCCTCCAGTCTTCGGTAACGGCATGGAAGCACTACGCGAGCTGGTGTGTTCTGTTGTGCGAGAAGAGCTGCAGAAGCAGCGTCTTGACCAGAACGCTCCAATGCTTTCGTCTCTCGCCGATGTGATCCATGAGGAGGTCAGGCAGGTGGTCCGCGAATCTTCGAGCAACGCACAGCCAGGGCCGCCACTACAACAGAAGACGAGAATGACGTATGCCGATGTGCTACTACGAGGACCTCCAGGACGTGCAAACGTTGCAGCGGCTACACCTATGTAGTACCCGATGCCGCCGAGCACCCTGCAGCCAACGCCAGAGAGGAGACTAAGGAAGAGCGATGTCTGGCGCACTCCCGACAGGATACCGCTGTGTTATCACTGT